TATGCATGTATGCCTGCATGCATGTATGGATGTATGTATGTCTGTGTGCATGCATGTAGTACGCATGTACGCATGTGTGCATCTATGCATGCATGCATGCACATATACATACCTACGTATATACATACATAGACGCCTATACTTACGAGCTTTTGGCAGTCCCGGAGCCTTTGTGAGTTCAGGTTGGTATAGTTCTAAGCCCAAACCGTAAAGCCTTAAACCCTTAGAGCTGCAAGGCGGCTCTGCCTGGGATTTTGGGAATTTCGATTTTGGGAGCGGTGGCTTAAGTGGTCTCGGGGCTTTTCGGGTTTAGGCACCTTTTGACTCGAACCCTTGAAAGAGCCTTAGCGCCAAAAAGCCGCCCAAACCCGAAAACACCAAGTCCCGAAAGCCCCACATAATCTCTAAGCGAGCCCTACAACTCCCCCCAAAGAAAGCTTATACAGTCCTGCAGCCAAATGGAAACAGGTTCTTTGACAAGGCCGTCGAGGAGGAAGCGCTAGGTGGGGCCGTACGTGGTTAGCTCATATGAAATAGGAGTATGAACATGCAAGATGTATACATAAATAAATATAAGTATAAGTCAATATACATATCCCTGTGTATATGTTTTTGTATATATATATATACAGACACAGATCTACACTGTCTTTAAAGCGCACATGACGAGAGGAGTGTAAGCAAGCAGAAGCACATCTAACTTTTTCACACACTCTCTCTCTATCTCTCTCTTAATCCTTTGATTTGTGCTGTTGCTCTCGGACACGTCGTGCGCAGAGTTTGGTGAGGTTGGGGTTGCAAGGTTTACGCAACGAGTGCTGGAACGATGGGCGACCCCGCCAAGGTAGCAGAGTCCCTGAGGCAGTTTTAGCCCACATGGGGCATTTTCGTGTTTTCTTTGTATGCATGTGTGACGGATTAGGTTTGGAATTGAGTGTGCAGGGCCACATAAGAAACTGAGGCCCAAACCCCAATCCCCCGAAGCATTACACTCTAGGTTTTCAGTTTTACAGCACTGCCATCCACTATCTATCTGATTGACGGCTTGTTCTGTCGCTTGAGCTGCTTGGTGACTTGCGCCATGTCACTTCAAGCCTCCGAGCACTTTACTCTAGACCCCTAGCCTCCGAACCGAAAATCCTGTCCCACAACCCAAATATACCGACAACCCAAAACTTAAGTCTAAGACCTTACACAGTCGATCCTAAACCCCATGAGCCCGTAACTCCACGACTCCGCAACCTTAAACCCTAATCGCAAACCCCCAAAGCTCCAGAGCCCTCAGATGTAATACTTACAGCAGCATCTAGAAGCCTTCATACTTAATAATACAACTCCCTTATCATCATCATATCATAATGTCGGCCAAGCCCTATTGTAATTATGAAGGCTATGTATTACTGAGCCTTGGAAGAGGCCGGCCGATTCCCATGGGCCAGCACACCATTGAGGATCTCGAGTGCTTCTGGGTTTAGGGTTTAGGGTTTAGGGTTTAG